CCCACATTGGAATATAAGTTCATTGTGAGTAGGGATTGTTTCATTCTTTGTACTTCTATTCTTAATACTTTGCATTAATTGTATTAATGTATTAATGATCCTTCTACCATACCATGCTGCCTCATGTGGATAAAAGCTTGATCATTTATCCCAGACAAGCGACAATTTTTAAAGATGAGGGAGACCTGGGTATATTTTTAGTTAGCAAAGCAGGAGCTTATAGATGAGGAGAGATGGAGGGACATGAGAAAGAGAGGGAAAGTTCTGAGAGTAGATGGTGGAACACATGATCTAGAGTTCAAATAGAAGGGTTGCTGGCCTTCGCAAGAATGGCCAAAGGAGAAAAGGAGTAGACAATGGAAGATGATAATGATGACTTTGGGTACTATATTCCTAAGACTGAAGACACAGAGAGGAACTCCAATATGGGTAAAGAACAATGGAGAAACTTAGATGTGGTCAGTCAATAAGTCAGTCAGGGGGTCAACAAACATCAGTTAAGGGTTTACTATGTGCCAGACACTCTAAGACCCCAGGATACAAAGAAAGGCATAGTCTCTGCCTTTGAGGATCTCACATTCTAATGGGGAGAGACACCTTGCAAATAACTATGTTACCTACCAGATATATGCAGGATAAATGGGAAGTAATCTCAGAGAGAAGATACTAGCAGTAGCAGGGACTAGGAAAGGTCTCTTGAAGGAGATGGGATTTGAACTGCGTCTTGAAGAAAGCCAAGGAAACCAGGCAGAGAAGTAAGGAGGAAAAACATTCTAGGCATGGGGAACAGGCAGTGAAAAGGCCTGGAGTTGGGAGATAGTGTCATATGCAAAGAGCAGAAGGAAGTCAGCATTCAAAGGGAAGAAAAATTGCAGGGGGGTCATTGTAAATTGGTAAGATTGTGTAGGTCCATGTGTAAAAGGTGAGGCCCACCAAAGGAAGAATTGCTTGACTCTAGTAAACCAGAGGCCTTTTACTACTTGGAGGATGGGAGAGATGGTACACCTGGGGGAGGGAGGAAGAGTGATGGTGTTAGACAGAACAATAAAGCTATATAAGGCATTGGAAGTGATGCATGCAGTCTAGCCTTAGCCTTCAGTGCTGCCTTGCAATAACCCTTTCATGAGATCCAGGGCTGGGATATTATTTTCAGACCTTGAAGCCTTTGAGAGTTCTGGAAACCAGTGAGAAATATCTTAGGTTTCTGACTCAGTGACATTCTATCACTTCCCATGTCCCACATTTTGGAACAATACCTGTAAAGTAGTATAGAAGCTATTGGAGGGTGGGAGAATTGGGGGGGGGGAGGGGTAATGATTTCCAACACCTTCATTTCCCTTACTCTTCTCTTTTGGTAGGGTCATAATATTGGAATAAAGGGGAAGTGTTCAAACATGGAAGAGTCCTCAATTTCTATGTCATAAATAACACTGTTAGGCATCCTGTGATTTTTTTGAAATACCTCTAGGTAAGAGTATCCTGACTTCTAGAGTAGGAACCAGATCCTATGGTCAAGTTGCCTGATCTAAATAATTTCTCCCCCCAGCAGTTGTTGAGGAGAGACAGAATAAAAAAAAGAGGGATTGAGAGAGAGAGAGAGAGAGAATCAGAGAGACAGAGACAGAGACAGAGGAAGACAGAGAGACAGACAGAGACAGACAGATAGAGACAGAGACAGAGAGAGAAGGATAAACCCAAAGAAAAGAGGAAGGAGGGAAGTGCAGTTAGTAATCATAACCATGACTATGAATGGAATGAGTTCACCAACAAAATGGAAGTGAATAGCAGAATGGGTTAAAAACCAGAATCCTCTCCATATACAAAATTCCCCTCTCCACACTTCATTTCCTGCAGGGTTTCTAATACCTCGCCAAGCCCATGTTGGCTTGGTCTTCTCTTTCCAGACATTGTGATCATTTATGTGTCTTGCTCCTTCCTTCTCCCTTATCATATATGGCTTTAGATATCACCTTTTCTTGCCTTTAGGTCTTTGCGCTCATTCTCTGTCCTCCATTCATTCCTTCACTTCCATTTTGCTCCACACTTATTTACTTCTTGCCTATCCTTAATGACCCAGTTCAGTCAAATGCCTTTCTTGAAGCCATCTATGACTATCTTAATCAAATAACAACAAGAACAATAATAATTAGAATTTATTTGGATCTTTAAGGTTTGCAACATGCTTTATAGATATAATGGCATTTTATCTTTACAATGACACTGGGAGGAAGGGGCTATTATTAACCTCATTTTGCAGATAAGAAAATTGAGGCAGACAGAGGGGAAATGATTTGTTTAGGGTCACACATGTAGTAAGTGTCTGAAGCAGGATTGAAACTGCAGTCTTTTTCTCCTGACTTTAAGTCCAGTACTCTATCCACTGTACCACCCAGATATTTCCTCCTCTAAACTTCAAAAGCATCTTCTGTCAGAGTCATAACTGAAGTGGAACAATGACATTCTTTCTGTTTCAAGTATGTCTCTTGTAAACAACATATTATTGGATTCTGGTTTCTACTCCATTCTGTTATCCACTTCCATTTTATGGGTGAACTTATTCCATTCACATTCTTTCTTTTTTTTTTAAAGGTAATTGGGGTTAAGTGACTTGCCCAGGGTCACACAGCTAGTAAATGTCAAGTATTTTGTCTGAGCACAGATTTGAACTCAGGTCTCCTGACTCCAGGGCCAGTTCTCTATCCACTGCGCCACCTAACTGCTCTTCTTTTTTATTTCTTTTTTTTTCCATTCCCATTCCCAGTTATGATTACTACTGCATTTCTCTCCTTCCCTCTCTTCCTCCCTCCCTTCCTCTCCTCTCTCTCTCTCTCTCTCTCTCTCTCTCTCTCTCTCTCTCTCTCTCTCTCTCTCTCTCTCTAATTCTGTCCTTCCTCAAAAGTCTGTTTTGCTTCTGACCAGTTCCTCCCTTAATCTACCTTCCCTTTTATCACCCTCCTCCCCTTTCTCTTAATCCCTTCCTCTTTTATTAACTTTTTGGATAAGATAGATTTCTATACCCAACTGAGTATGTGTGTGTGTATGTGTGTGTGTGTGTGTGTGTGTGTGTGTATTACTCTCTTTGAACCAATTTGAATGAGACTGTTCAAGTGTTGCCCCCCACCATTTCCCCCTCCACTATAAAAACTCTTCCTTGCATACCTTTTTTATGTGAGATAATTTCCCCCATTCTACTTCTCCCTTTCCACTTCTCCCAATGTATCCCTCTTTCTCAGTCCATTTTTTTAGATCATCCCAACACAATTGACTCACACCTGTGCCCTCTGTCTGTGTAGAAGGCTTCCAAATGCCCTAATAATGATAAAGTTCATAGGAATTAATTACATGTGTTATCTTTCCATATAAGGAATGTAAACGGTTTAACTTTATTGAGTCTCTTATGATTTCTCTTTCATGTTTACCTTTTTATGCTTCTCTTGAATTTTGTGTTTTAATGTCAGATTTTCTATTCACCTCTGGTCTTTTCAACAGGAATGCTTGAAAGTCCTCTATTTTATTAAATATCTATTTTCCCCCTGAAGAATCATACTCAATTTTGCTAGGTAGGTTATTCTTGGTTGTAATCCTGGGTAGGCCTGTCAAATTCAAAGTAATTAGAAAGGTTTCTGCTCCTTCACCTGGTGCCCCAGACTGAAAGGGAGATTTCAAATGCAGACTTTCAGCTCCCTTCCAAACTCCTGTTTCTCCTTAGTAGATCTGGCATGCTCCTCCTCCCTTTTCTATTCTTCACCGGATTCCAGATCTACTTAAAAATCAAGTAAATCAGCATACTGAGTTGATTGCCCTATTCTCTCTCAGGAGACAGAACAGAAAAACCAGGATGAGGAAGTGGGGGAGAGGAGGTTGATGCAAGGGTTCTTCTATCTGGAGGCAAAGCCTCACATTGGGAGACTTCTTGGCAGGAAACACATCACCTAGGGGAAAGGGAACAAAAAATGAGGCAGAGAGCACACTGAGGAATAAGGAAGGGGAACAACCAAGTTGGTGGGGAGGGGTCAATCTTTCCATGGAGTACAATGGACCCCCTTTATGATGCTAGTGTTGGGGCAGAATTATCTTTTTTACTACTGAATCACCAGGCTATATCAACTATGTTCACAGTAAGTAGTTGTGTGTGCCTGAGAATAGGATATGACCAGTAGTCTATCCAAAGTCATGAGATAGTTAATTCTTTCAGAAGGAGACAGCATGGTAAGGAGCTCTGAATTTGGATTCAGAAGACCTGGGTTCAAATCCTGTCACTGCTCCTTAATACCTGTATGACTTTAAGTTATCAAACTTCTCTGGGCCTTAGTTTACTCATCTGTAAAATGAGAGGATTGGACAAAATGATCTCTCATGTCCTTCACAGACTCCACTGAGAGAGTCATTATATTTCTGGAAGTTCCTTTTCCTTCTCTGAGGTAGTCTTCTACCTTTCCCACCCATGCCTCCTTGCATCATAAGACAGTTTCATTCTTGGGTTCTCTCACCTAAAGAAGATTGGACAATAGGTGGGAAGCAGGGAAAAAATGAAATAAGTGATGGGATGGCTGGGGAGTGGAGGTGTCAGCTTCTCTGAGAATACCCAAAAGCAGTATGACTCATATCTCTCTGTTCTGAAAAAGAGGTTCATTTTCTGAGGTGAAAGGAATATAAAGCCAAAAGGGACAGATGTCATCAAGCCCAAAACATTAATCTGACAAATGAGTCTACTGAGATGCAGGAAAGGTCTCAGAATAGCCAAGTGACATTCCTAAGGCCACATAAATGACACAGGCCCCGAGTCCTCGAACTTCATATACATTGTCCTAACAGGATGAGTTCTGACAGAACCTCATAGCAAAGAGGAAGTTAGGGTTAGGAAGGGGGGGGGGGTAAGTTTCCCTTTCCAAGGCATGGTTTCCTTCATCTGTCTCTGCCTCTTTCCTGGGTAGGTTCCCTTTGGTGAGTGAGGCCATAATGGCCTAGAGAGATTCCTCCTGCTATTCCCCCTGCTGGCAATGCTAATAGTGAGGCTAGTCTCATCAGAGATCCCAGAAGTAAGGTTCAAGCAGCAACATGTGGACTCAGACTACCCAGCCCTCAGTGACAATGCCTACTGCCACCAGATGATGAGAAAAAAGGGTATGACACAGGAGAGTTGCAAGCAATTCAATACTTTCATACTGGAGAATATCTGGAAGATCTGGGCTCTTTGTAGGACCACGAAGGCCCCATGCAAGTACAAATACTCTAACTACCACAGGAGCGGCACACCCTTGCAGGTTACTGAGTGCCCATTAAAGGGCAACTCCCAGAATCCCCAGTGCAAGTATAAGGCTACGAATGTCAAGAAACATATCATTGTTGCCTGCTATGGGTGGCCCCCTCTGCCTGTGCACCTTGATTCCTCAGAGTCGTAGATGCCTGAAATAATCGATACATTCCACCATCTAATACTTGCTCTTCTCAATTCACCCTCAAACTCTTGGTCCTTGGGTCCATACTCTGTGATTAGATACTGCTCTGAGTTTCACCTCTACTTTGGGGCAGTTTGCTGAGGGGCTTGGAGAAAGAGAAGCCCTGAGATCCATCCTGTCTCTACTACTCACAGTAAAACACACCTGTTTAGAGGGGAGGTTTCTGAAGCTATGTTGATCCTGGCCTTATTTATTATTTTATTGGTTTAATTTTCCATAAAGCATGAAAATAGGCTATTTCATTAAATATCATGGTATATGTATATGGCTATTGGGTTTCAACCCTCCAACCATTTGGGGAACTTGTTTCCTAATGAGGGGCTTAATTTTTTCTCTTTGGTGATTCTTCACCCCACCTATAACCCAGTCATTGAATGTATATTATTCTGTACAGTACAGCATCACAGAATGCGATAGCTGTAGGGTAACTAAGAGGTCATTGGGTCCAATCCCCACATTTTATTAAGAAGGAAATTGAGGGCTAGAGTGGGAAAGTGACTTATCCAAGGTCACATAGCTAGTAGATGAGAGAGTCAGGACTTGAACTCAGCTCTCTTGGCCAAGACAGAAAGGGAAATGATTATATTCCAAGGCAAAGACAATGATGACATGATCTCTAGAGCATCTCACTTATCCAGGCATTTTTGAGCATAGGATGCTATGAATTCCATGCTCTTCTCCTGCCCTTCTGCCCAGGGTCACTGGTACAGTTCCTGGCTCAGTGAAGATCTTGGTTTTTTATTGGCATGGTTCCCCAAAGTTACCAAGCTCTCTCTCACAAAGAATTCTCTGGAAGGAAGTCTTGCTTCTTTGGGCCTTCACTCCTCTTGGTCTTCCCAATGGATAGCTTGTGACCCATTTCACCTGGGGGAATCAGTGCTCAGAGATTTCCCCACATCTCCTTGGGCAGTGACAATGTGAGTAAGGTGATGACTTCATCCCTAGAATACAGCTATATAAAAGTTAGTTATTAAGTGTTTGGGGAGGTCAGCTGGCCCAGCTATATGGAAAAGAAAGAAAGAAGCATCTATTAAGCACTTACTCTATGTCAGGAACTGTAATAAGCATTGGGGGTGCAAATAAACAAACTCTTATGACAAAGGAGTTTATATTATAACAGAGGAAGACAACACACAAAAGAAAGCTGAAAATTGGGGTTGGGGAGGGCACTGATGTGGCACTGAAGGTACCTAGTGCAGGGGCATGATTTTGAAGTTCATAAAACCACGAACATAGCCAGGAGAGGAATGCAGCCCATCTAGCTTGGGCCCCTTCACAAAGTAGATGCTTCTGGTTAGGACAAATTGTCCTTGCAGTAAGGAGAGCTTAAAAAGGAAGAGTTTCTCCTTGTGAGGTGGGAAGATCAGGGTAGGTAGACAGACAAAAAGTATCTCAGGGATCCCCAAAAAAGAGACATGCTAAAGACTCGTAGAGCCAAGAAGAGAGGACTCGTGAAACACTGGTGAGGAAATGAATCATTGTCCATCAAAGCATTGTTCTCAGAAGTAAATGGAGAAGACTTCTTTTGTTCTTTAGGAACAAATGTAAAAAATATGTATTATTAATAAATACTGAAATGACCTCATGTAATGGCTGTTTTAAAAAACATGGTGTTAAAAACCAAATATTTAATTACATAAAAGACAAGTATTCTAGGCAAGATACTATAGTGTAACTAAGATAAAAATAAAAATAATAGATTGGGGAAAATATTGTAGCAAATAGATTAAAATGGGGCACCTAAAATTTATAAGGAACAAAAGACATGTTCATCATCTAATGAGTAAGTGTTCAAAAGTTATAAATAGTAAATTTATAACAGGAAATAAATTAGAAAGTCATTTGAAGAAATATTCAGTCAGTTTAACGATTAGATAATTACCAATTAAAATAACTGAAGTACCACCCTGTAGCCATCTAGTTGTTCTATTTCAGCATATGTGCTGCCAAACTTAATGCCAACCATCTACCAAACAAAGTTATAAAACCTAGTATTGGGAAGGTTATGGAGAAACAAGTATGCTCATACTTTGCTGGTGGAATTGCAAATTGGTGGACTCTTCAGAGAGCAGGCTGACAGGTTATAAGAGTTATAAAAGTAAACATATCCTTTGACCTAATTTTCTACTAATGCAAATATCAAGAACAGGATTTCGAAGATTTAGAGCTGGAAGGAACCTTAGAGAGTACCAAAGTATTCCTATTTTCTATATCAGGGAACAAACTGTATCCCAAGTGAGTTACTGTAAGATCATCCTTGAGTTCTGGTCACACACATATGACATATAATCCAAATGGATCTGGTATGTAAATTGCTTTGTACACTGTAAAGTACTATGCAAATGTCAGTGGTGATTATCTTCATGCTGGCATTCTTTTCTTTGGCATCACACCTGTGATTCCATCAGGACAGACTAGTTCTATGCTGTTATGTCCTGAGTATGTGTGTTTTTTGCTACTTATGACTCACTGACATCTCTCATCCTTCCCTTATTCCCATTAAGAAATCACCCACATTCCATTCAGGAGACCAGAATCTACTTCCTTTCTTCACAAAATGTTCACACCCCTCAACACCTTCCCTCATGCAAACAAGGGAAATTCTGACAATGTTATCTTTTATACTTGTTCATTTACACTTGATTGTGGAATGTATAGTTTTATTTTATGACACATCCCTGGTTGTTTTTAAATAGAATTTCTTATATGTTAACCTCAGCCAGAATTTACTCTTCTGGCCTTCTTTTTCTGGTGTTTTTTTTTTTTTTGTGGCTACTCAATGGGGTTAAATGACTTGTCCAGGGTCACACAGCTAGTAAATGTTATATGTCTGAGGCTGTATTTGAACTCGGGTCCTCCTGAATCTAAGGCCGGTGCTCTATCCACTGCAACAACAAGCTGCCCTTAGCCTTCCCTTTCTAACTGGGAAAAGACAGGATGTGTCCTTAGCTAAAGGAATTTCAGACATCTGATACCATTAAGGGGAAGGGAGAGATATTTGAGGAAGTCTTGTTGTTGTTCAGTCATTTCAGTTATGTCCTACTCTTTATAACCCCATTTGGGGTGTTCTTGGCAAAGATACTGGGATGGTTTGCCATTTCTTTCTCCAGCTCATTTTGAAGATGAGGAAACTGAGGCAAACAGGGTTAAGTGGCTTGCCCAGGGCCACACAGCTAGTAAGTTTCTGAGGATGAATTTAAACTCACAAAGGATGAGTTCTTCCTGAGTCCAATCCCAGTGCTCCATCCACTCCCTAACTGCTGTTTGAGGGAGAGGGATTCTGAAATCATACATCCCAATAGAGATCTATGACCTGGGAATTGTTGAGAAGGAAATGGAGCACAGAAACCTACGCTCCTCTGAGCCCATCTTCTCGTCTATAAAATGAGAGAAGTAGGCTAGATCACTTTTAAACTTCTTTCAGCTTTATTATCCTTTACTATCCCTCTTCCAGGATCTAAAGCCTACTCTGATGGAGCACAGGTCTGTTCTCACTTCCTGCCCTTCCAGATAACCATTCCCTGTCAGAGGCTCACTCACCTACTCTAAACTAAATCCAACTCATATTCTCTCTTTGATCTCAACATATTTTGGTTGTTTTTTTTTTCTGGAACATTGAACATAATTTTAGTTAGTATTTAATAATATTTTCATGACACTTTTCCCAGTGTCCTGGAATAAAAATCAGATGTTAGAAGAGCAATTCTTAAGGATTTAATTCAATAAATCAGTTCTATTTTTATTTTATTAAGTACCTAATCTATACCAAATGCTCCATTAGCCGTGGAGGATACAGACAAGGAAGAAAGAAAGAAAGAAAGAAAGAAAGAAAGAAAGAAAGAAAGAAAGAAAGAAAGAAAGAAAGAAAGAAAGAAAGAAAGAGAGAGAGAGAGAAGGAAAGAAAGAGAGAGAGAAAGAGAGAGAGAAGGAAAGAAAGAGAGAGAGAAAGAGAGAGAGAGAAAGGAAGGAAAGAAAGAAAAAGAAAGGAGAAAGAGTTAACTGTTTTCAGAGAGCTTCTATTCCACTGAGAGCACAATGATACATGGGGGAATCAGAAAAAGGCATCTTGTAAGAAGTGGCATTTGAACTGAGTTTTGATGGGAGCTAGGGATTCCAAGAGGTAGAGGTAAGAAGTAAGAGCATTCTAGGCATGGGGGGAAGCTTGTACAAAGCACAGAGACGAGAGATGGCAGGGCACGAACTAGGGACAGCAAAGAGGCCTATTTGGCTGTCATGGAGAGATCGTGGGGGGAGGGGCTTCCATGGGGTGGGAAAGAAAATGTGTACTTAATTTGGAAAGATCGAGGAGAGACTGTGAAGAGTTTTTGCTACACAAAGGAGATTTTTCTTTTTTTTTTTTTCAATCCTAGAATCAATAGGGATGAACAAGAAGAAATGAACGGGATGACTTAGAAAGAAAGAATGTGAAGCAAGAGTTCTTTTTTATGTCATGGACTCCTTTAGCATGGACCTTATGGACCCTTTTTCACAACAATGTTCTTAAATGCATAATATGAAATACACAGGATTACAAAATTATATTAAAATATAAGTATAAATTTTAAAAAATTAAATTTAATTAAATTTAATTAAAATTTTTTAATTTTTCAAAAATAAGATCCTACATCCCAGGTGAAGAACCCCTGAGCTAGAGAATGAGGGAATAAAGGGCAAGTTTAAAGTCTGAAGAAGGTTGTGTGGTATAACAGAGTCAGAGAAGCTGAGTTCAAATCTTGCCTCTGTAGCTTTGTGTGAGTCACCCAACTTCCTTGTTCCTTAGGTTCCCTATCTATAAAATGAGTCTCTAAATTCTCTTCCAGGCAAAGAGGATTGGAGTCAGGTGACCAGATGGAGGTTTATTAAAATATTTGTTTCTAAACTGGACAAATCTGATCTCTAACTCTAAATCTGCCTGCTTGCACAATTCAGTTCTCATATGCAGT